CAACATGGGTAACTACTCGAAAGCACTTGAATTTTACGACAAAGCACTTAAAATAACAGAAAACGTTTTGCCTCCGAATCATCCCGATTTGGCTACTTCCTACAACAACATCGGTCTTGCGTATGACAACATGGGTAACTACTCGAAAGCACTTGAATTTTACGACAAAGCACATAAAATACTCGAAAAATCTCTGCCTCCAAATCATCCCAACGTGGCTACTTCCTACAACAACATCGGTGCACCCTATTACAACATGAGTAACTACTCGAAAGCACTTGAATTTTACGACAAATCACTTAAAATAAGAGAAAAAGCTCTGCCTCCGAATCATCCCGATTTGGCTCAATCCTACAACAACATAGGTATGGCGTATTACGGGAAAGGTGATGACCCAAAAGCACTTTCATATCTGGAAAAGGCACTTGCCATCTGGCAAAAATCACTTCCACCAACACATCCTAATATTAAAACGGCGATGAATAATATTGACAGTGTGAAAAAGAAAATGTAACTGTGTTGTTTTTTCTTCTCGATTCCTCAATAAATTGATTTTGATTGCAATTCACCTCACTTCTTGGCTTTTCTCGGCTCATATTCGCATACGCGCGCGACCAGGAAGACCTCCTGTAAGCCCGAAATGGGTACACGCAGAGCGGACCACGCCGGACTGGCAGGGCATGATCATAGGTGTGACGTATGTAAACGGTGACAGGGACCTACGAACAGACGGCCTTCCCGAGTACTCCACTGCTTTCGCCAACATAGGCACAAGAGATCTCCCTGGGTCAGATTACGAAGCCATCTGACGGGCTGTGATATAAGTTAATACCTCACTCTACTACTACAACAAAGAAAAACAAAAAATATTCCATCTAGAATAGATTACATGTCTACCTTAGCAAAAAAAATAACTTGAAAAGTTCTATTGGCCATTAGAACTTTTCAATTTATTTATATTTATTCGCATCTCAATAAGCAAAAAAAAGAGACTAAATTTAGTTAGTAACTGTCTTATCTCTCTATTCTCCTTCTCAAGAAAAAAAAAATAAGCAACATTCCCGATTTGAAATTGAAATATATAAAACATTACGTAAGTTAATAATACATGTTAACATTCAAATTTGGAACATTGTAAATAATGATACGGTACCATATGATTGTATAAATTTCATTATCATAATTATGTTTCAATAGAATGATTTCATACAAAAAAATCATTGTTTATATATGTTTGAGACATGAACTTTTAGTCAATGACGTTACAGTGTTATTTTTTCTCTCCACCAATTAAAAGATTGATGATCGAAATCGAAAAGAAAACAATTCATTCTCATGAACTCAATAATTGATGAAATGATCATTGTCATCTTTGTTTTCGTCGACGATCAATTCATCACATATGTACTTATTCTCTTAGCACTATCCAGTACTTTAATACGTGGTTGACAAATCAACATCTGAAAATATAACATGATTCAATGGCATCATTACTGAAAAATATTTTTGATTTAAAATATTCTACATTGAATAAAAATTGTTCTACAACATTTAAACAATTTGTTCGTATTCAATCAAAAGTAAGAAA